ACTTGTAAAATGCAGGAACTTTGATAAAGTATTGGTTTGTGTAGAATAAATGGCTTAATTTCATTTTCTGTCACCTGGTTTATAGAAAGTAGCAGAATATAAACTATATAAAGTGACATGGCGTCTTTGTCCAATGTTATTGTTCTGTTGATAATGACAATGAGAAGAGTAGCTTTTGGGGTGTTCATCTCAAATTAGCACAACTGTTCCATCACCATAGAAAATATATCACCTTTGCTGAACTGTCTTGAATATTATTATTTTGCACTTACATAGCGCCTTTCATCTCTTGAATTCTCAAAATGCTTTATGAACACGTTTAAGGAAAGTGATTCAAGTCATGTCCAGCTGTTGATGAGTGTGCATTTAGGAAGTGAAGAAGGTATCTTTTTAAGACTGCTTTCTACCTATTGGGAGTGAGGCTACCTAAGGAATGCTACTAGAATAAGCCAGTCTTTGGGCTCTTTTCCATGTCATAAGCCACTAAACAATGTGTTCAATAAATACCTGCTGAGCACCTACTGTGTACCAGCCACTGTGCTTAGTGTACGGGATGCAAAGGTGCCTTTGACCTGCCCCTGGCCCTTAATGCAGTATAATGGAGAAGGTGCGAGACATCTCGGTACATGTTACGTATTCCGTGCTATGATACACCATTGCAGCAGCTGAAATGTCTGCTTAGTTTTGCATTTAGTAATTAGATAAATTGGTGTATAGGGGTCAAGCATAAACTGAAATGCCATTAAGTTCTAGAGGAACCAAGCATTTAGGCAATAATTAGTGTTATTTGGCAAGTACTTTAAGTATATTTTTAGCTTTTCCTAATTTCCTGGCTTTTGTCCTTTTCTACCCATGGCTGTTTTGTTTTGTCTCCCTATGCTAGCCCTTCTGTGAACTCTTAAGGGGACCTAAGATTCTGCAGCAGCACATGGCGTGGGAGACTGCCACTGTAAGTAAAATCGCACGGGGACTAGAAGGTTTGTTCCTTGACCTGCTAACACCCAGGACCCCTGTTTTGAAGGTTACATGAGAAACAGTTTGTAATTGGCTGACTTACAAAATCAATATTGAGCATTAGTTGACTCTCCAGGAAGAACTTGTAACTTCTTATGTTCCTTGTATAAAATAACTTTGTGACAGGTCAGTATGTACTAAAACACGATTTCCAAAGTCATTTTTCTAAGAAGTTTTTGCAACTTTAAATCTTGCTGTTCTCTATAGTTTCTGACAGATGGCCTTCAGTAATTAGTAATCATGAAAATGAACACAATTAGATTTCAAAGCCCAAATTTGATTTTAAATCAGTCTTGGGGGAATTTAGTTATATTTTTCACTTCAAGTACTTCTATAACTTCAGTTTGCTTGGGCCCATGTTTTTATGGAAACTCAATGCTTTGCAGACAGAGGCACTGTGGAGCAAAAGAGACTACTAGCCACCTTAAGTGACTTTTTACTGATGCAAATAGTTTGAGGACAGAGATGAAGGAAATACTGAAGGCTACGACCTTCATAGTTGGGACCAAATAGAGGCTCACAGATATTTGCATTATTTTATATGCTTGTTGAATAATGAAAGCATTTTGTGACATGTGAAAGACGCTATGTGAAGTTTAACTATCTTTCAAAAACTTCCTTTTGCACTTTCTTTTGGTGTTTCTTAAAGCCAAACTTAAACAGGAAGAAATTAATGTTCTTAAGGGAACAGTGGGTGGGTCTTTCTGGGGGCTCTTGTTGGTTTTTCTGTAAGCCCTCTAATGGAATTGATCTCTTTGGCTGTTCAATTTTTTTCATATTGTATTTTTAAAATTTGTTGTATGGTGCCATGTGAGCATCACGTACCACCAAATGAATAAAAGTTATATCTAAAGTCTTTAGACCAGTTTTTGATTGTAGTTGACTGTGTTACTGCCGTACTACACATCGTGCTACACTCCGTTGTGGTTGGGCCATTTTAATAATACCTATTTGGGTTGTTTTTCCAAACCAGGGAACTTAATGTTGAAAAACCAAATAAGAAACTGAAAAAATTGCAGCCACATAGGTTTCTGATGTCTTTTAAATCGCAAAAAGTTAAAAGTAGCAGAAACTACCATTATCACAGGGCTTCTCAACCATGGCATTATCGACATTTGGGCCACATAAATCTTCACTGGGGGGTGCTATCTTGGGCATCAGCAGCATCATTGATGTCCACCCACTAGATGCCAGTAGCACCCCCACGCCAGCTGTGACAACCAAACATGGCTCGGATACTGTCTGGAGGGCAAAACGGAGACGATGGTTTAAGCAGGACTCACACAGGATGGGTAAAATTAGAGCATATCATTTAGTCTGTTGTTGCCGAGGAAGTAACTAGAAATACTATTTCACAAATACTTAAGACACACCTTGAGTAAAACTCTGCATCAGTCCGGGGAAAGCAAGCTGAAAACGTGTTCATCGCTGTCGGTCCTCCCGCCCGAGCCAGCGGAGCCAGCGGAGTGGTATGGCTGGAGGAGGAGGACAGGCAGGACAGAGACCGTTTCTCTTTAGAAAAGTGGAGAGGAAGCCACAGAAGGAAATGATTTGCAAGGCAGTCAAGGGGTTCTATAGGCAGGAGGGAGTGAGTCATGTGTGGGCCAGGTGGAAAAACAAGTTTTAAAAATTTTTAAATGATTTGAGAGAGGATTGGAAAGCTAGGAACATCAATGATGAGAGACAATGAGAGAATCATTGATCGGCTGCCTCCTGCATGCTCCCTACTGGGATCGAGCCTGCAACCCTTGACCGGAATTGAACCCGCGACCCTTGAGCCTGCAGGCCAACGCTCTATCCACTGAGCCAAACCAGCTAGGGCTAAAAATTTATTAATAGTTATTGTACGATCTAAAAAGATTATAAAGGACATGCTTTCATGTCATATGGACAAATAGACTTTTTAATGGCCTAGTATTACAATTTTTTAGGAGATTCTTAACATGTTAGTGAAGCTTTGGAGGAGATTTGGTCTGAAATATTATCCTAAAATTTGTGCTAGGAATATATAAATAGGTTTAAGCTGTTAATTTTTATATCTAACTCCCCCCCGCCCCAATTTGGCTAAATTAGCTGTTTTTTAAATAGTGTAATTTCATGAAATTATCACTATTACTGTAGACTAGGAATTTGGGATTAGACAGAAGGAGGCTGATGAGCAAAAGTAGATAGTTGGTTGAGTGAGTTTTGTTTTTTTTTAAAATATATTTTATTGATTTTTTTACAGAGAGGAAGAGAGAGGGAAAGAGAGGAACATCGAAGCATCGATCAGCTGCCTCCTGCACACCCCCTACTGGGGATGTGCCTGCAACCAAGGTACATGCCCTTGACTGGAATCGAACCTGGGACCTTTCAGTCCGCAGGCCAACACTCTATCCACTGAGCCAAACCAGTCAGGGCTTGAGTGAGTTTTTGATGAGGTAGAAAGAGGTGGGAGTCAGGATGCATATGGAGGGATTTTTTTTTTACAAATATCTTCCCCTGAGTCGGTAAAGAAGATAACGTGGGATGTAGGCATGAAAATTTTGCCTAAGAATATGTCAGAGAATATAAAAATATAAAAGTTAGTGCTCTGTTAGGAACAAGTAGACCCAAATGAATCAGACATGTACAGAAAATTCAAACCAAGCAAAGTGAAAATCTGGTAGAGCTGACAGCTGGTGTATATAGTATGTAATGTGTATAATGTGTAATGTGTGGCTGGATGCTTTGTACAGTTTTGTCACAAAGCACAGAATCTACTTCGCACATTTGGGAAGATAGTCTCTTAGCACAGCGTGATCAAGGAAGAACTGTTCATGTGCCAGTGTCTAGGTCATTGCCACTCAAAGGTGGTCTGGCCATCGGCAGCAGCAAAGTTCTTGGAGCTTTTAAAATAGACTCTTAGGTAGCGTTCCAGGCCTACTGAAGAAAGATCTGCGTTTCAGTAAATGCTCAGATTTCTAAGTACATGGAAGTTTGAGAAGTGATAGTCTAGGCACAGCTCCATCCACTGCAGTGTGGCAGTGACACAGTAATAAAAGGTTCAGAGCCCTGGCTGGTGTGCCTGGTTGCATGTTGTCCCATGCACAGGAAGGTCACCAGTTGGATTCCCAGTCAGGGCACACACCTAGGCTGCAGGTTCGATCCCCAGTTGAGGCACATGTGGATGGCAACCGATTAATTTTTCTCATATTGATGTTTCTTCCCTTTCTCTCTAAAATCAATAAAAACATCGAAAATAATAATAAAAGGTACAGAAGTACCACTCCAGCTGGGTGGCTTGGTTGGAGTATCGTCTTCTACACCAAAAAGGTTATGGGTTCGATCCCCAATCGAGGCATGTACAGGAGGCAACCAATTGATGCTCTCTCTCTCTCTCTCTCTCTCTCTCTCTCTCTCTCTCTCTCTCCCACCCCCCCTTCTCCCTTCTCCTCCCTTCTCCCCTCCCTCTTTTTCTCAAGTCAATAATAACATATCTTCACATGGAGGTACCTACTTAATCATAGATACAGATAGCCAAGAGGTGGTCAGTACCGCTAGGATGGTACTTTGCTGAAACCTGGGTGAGATCGAAAGGGAGGGAACAAGAGAAGGATAAATTTTATTGCAGAAAATAAATTTATTTTTCCAGTAAGGCAATGGAATAGACTGAATGTTTGTGTCCTCCAGAATTCATATGTTGAAACCAATTTCTTATGTGATGGCTATTAGGAGATGAGGCCTCTGGGAGGTCATGAGGTCATGAGGGTGGAGCCCTTATGAATGGGATTAGTGCCCTTACGAAGAAGAGATGTGAGCGCTGGTCGTCTCTCTGCTCTCTGCCTTGTCAGGATACAATGAGAAGATGGTCATCTGTAAACCAGGAAGCAGCAGGCCCTCACCAGATAATGGATCTTTTTTTTTTTTTCCTCCGGCAAATTTTATTTTGGGAAAGGAATGGATATTGAGGAGAAAAAAACATGGGGCAGAGAGATATGGAATAGAAAATAAATACAAATGTAAGCTGCTTTGCTAATTGTTTTATAACCACAACAAATGAGTACAGCGAATACCCTGTACAAAACAACACAATAAAGGTTCAAGATCAAGGTGTTCCTTTAGGCAAGGCTGTAGATTTCAGTCTCTGGTATTTGGAATTTAGGCTGCAATCCTTATTTTTGGATGGATCACTGGGTGTGTAGTACAGTCCATGCTTTTAACCCGATTTGAACAGAAGAATGGCCACCTGGCCCAGGTAGAAGTAGATGAAGTGTTTGGTTTCATGTGTCACGTAACTACCGAAGTTCCTCCCCATGATGCAGTGCCAGGTGGGGTTGTACTTCTTGTCAAACTCCTTAATGTGGGCCGCAATGTCCTTTTCTATGTTATATTTCTCCAACGCCTGAGTAGCACATTTCACGGAGTCCTGTTGCATCACCTCCGACATATCGGCATTTTTGATCACCGCCTTTTGGTCGCACATGGTTACAGTGGAGCAGCGGCTGGCCGATTGCAACAGTCTCCTGGGGGAGGGGCTGGCGAGGCTCAGACCCAGCTAGAGAGGCCCTCGCTACTCCAGACAATGGATCTTGCTGGCATCTTGATCTTGGACTTCCAGCCTCCAGAACTGAGGAATAATTTGGTTGTTGAAGCCACCCAGTCTGGTATTCTGTTCTAGCAGCCTGAACTGAGCAGGCTGGTTAGGTCAATTCGGTTCATAAACCTCATGGGCATATATCCATATTGCTTCTCCTCCTTAACTGACATTGGTTGTAGGACCTTGGACAAAGGGAGGCTCACTCTTCTGAGGCCAGGGTGATATGGATGGGAGCTGGAGCCAGACGCCTGTTGAGAATCCTCTCCCTGCTTTTACTGTGCCGAGGGAAGAGAAGGGTCAATATAGTATGGGCTTGCCAGTTGGCTCTGGAGTTTGTCAAAACCAGGTTGGTTGTAAGTTCAAGTTCTGGATTATAACCTGGATGTGCCACTTAGAGGCTTTGTGACCTTGAGCAAGTTACCTGACCTCTCTATGCTTGTTTCCTCACTTAGAGAATTTGGATAATAATTGTACTCCTTTAATAAGTGGTGGTCCTTGCAAAGATTAACTGAGATAATGCTTATAATGTAAAAGATCCAGGCATAGTGCCTAGTAAATGTAATAACTATTGCTATTGATATAGTTTGTTGTTTTTAGTATTATGCGGGAGAAGTGCTCTGTAGTCACTGCTGAAATTAGAGGAAATGAAGATTGGTGTAAAAAAAAAAAGCCTTTTGCTTCCTTCTTCTCTTGGCTGGCTCCTGCTCTTTCTTCAGGAATGAGCTCCTGCCCTAGCTGATTTGGCTCAGTGAATAGAGTGTTGGCCTGCGGACTGAAGGGTCCCAGGTTTGATTCCGGTCAAGGGCACATGCCTGGGTTGTAGGCTCCATCCCCAGTTGGGGGTGTGCAGGAGGCAGCCGATCAATGATTCTCATCATTGATGTTTCTGTCTCTCTCCCTCTCCCCTCCTCTCTGAAATCAATAAAAATATATTAAAAAAAAAAAAAAAGGAATGAGCTCCTTTTACGTCATTTGGAACCTCCTGGCTAAGGTGGTGCATTGGTGTGCTGCCCAGCACCTGACCCACATGCCCCACCTTGCTCCATGTGAAGTCGCCATTGGCCCCGTGGGCTGTGGAAGGCGTCAGCCCAGGGCCCAGCACCTGCCTGCCGCTCAGCTGGAGGGACTCGGTGAGCGGTAGCCGCCCTGAATTATTTCAGACAGGTTATTACCGCTGTTCTCTGACGACTGTTGTGCAGGAACGTCTAGGCAGCAAAGCAAGCAGGCACATTTTAAAGCAAGTAATTCTTGGATCTTTTTCACAAGGTGTAAGACTATCCTATTTCATCCTGTGATTGAGGAAATCATACAAACTGCTGCTTTGTCAAAAAAAAAAAAAAATTATATTTCTGTAACAGGCTTAGCTTCTGACAGGGGGCAGCAAAGCCCATGAAAACAATGGCTGGGCCCGTAGCTGGTGGCTTGCAAGCCTTTGGATCCAGACTGACTTTTGGGCAGAAACCAGGCCTTGATATCTGGCCAACTCACCGTGGACTAATGGGTAAGTCTGGATCCTAAGGTAAAGGCCGGCTTTTATTAATTTAATATTCTTTGAAGGCACCACAACAATATTTTTAAATGCAAACAGTCCTCTCCCTCACTTCATTCCTGAGGAGGAAAAACCCCCTTTTCCTCTGCTGTGTTTCTCCTTTACTATCCTTCACTTGTGACACTTCTGGTCACCAAATGTGTGGGCTGTCCCCCCGCCCAGCAATTCTCTGCGACACCAGCTGCATAGAATTCAAGTCTTGTGTTGTTATCTGTGCTTTTGACCAACTGGCTATACATTGAGATTCCTGCAGCCCCCTCGTTGGGGTTGACAGTTTGCTAGACTAGCTCACAGAACTCAGGGAAGCACTCTTACCAGCTTATTATAGAACAGTGATGGCAAACCTATGACACGCGTGTCAGAGGTGACACGCGAACTCATTTTTTTGGTTGATTTTTCTTTGTTAAATGGCATTTAAATATATAAAATAAATATCAAAAATATAAGTCTTTGTTTGACTATTAGGTTTTACGCCGCCGCAAGGAAAGACCGTGAGTCCAATCAGAGACCAGATTAAACAGGCTTTATTGGGAGCACACGGGCGGGTTCACCAGCTCGGAGAGGGGAGCTGGAGAAGCCGCGCCAAACTGGAGCAGGGGCAAGTTTTTATGCTGGCAGAAACTGGTGGCAGTGGGAGTTTTCCGGAGTCAGGTGAAACCTGCGGTCTGTCCTGCGGTTTTGGCCATTTCCAGGAGCCGTTTGTCCGGCAGGGACTTTCCACCGGGGTGGGGCAGGTTCTGGACGTCAGTGTGGTGAGGTCAGTTTCTCACCGGCCCAAGAGAGGGAGGGGGTCTTTTCGCCCCCGGGGCAGGGTGCCAGCGAATACCGGACATTGACTATGGTTGCAAATATCAAAAATTTTCTATATGTGACACGGCACCAGAGTTAAGTTAGGGTTTTTCAAAATGCTGACACGCCGAGCTCAAAAGGTTCGCCATCACTGTTATATGAGGACACGATGAAGGACACAGATGAGCAGCCACATGGAAGAGGAGCTGAGGAAGGTATGCGGGCAGGGTGTGGCCCTCCACTCAGCAACGCCCCCCCCCCGCCCAACCACCACCACCTTGTCACCATCTCAGGAGCATTCTGGGACTTTTGTGGAGGCTTCATCACATGGTGTGATCGATCATTAACTCCATTTCCAGTTGCTTTCTCTTCCTGGAGGATAGCGGATGGGGCTGAAAGTCCCAAGCTTCTTTCTGAACCCGTCCCCACCCGGGAGCCACCACGCCTGGCCTCATTGGAACAGAAGACGCTCCTATCAGCCAGAACATCCCAAGGGATTCAGAGCTCTGAGCCAGGATCTGAGGGCAGAGGCTATTTCTGTTATTTCGCAATTACTGAGTCTTAAAAGAGGTGGGTACTTCTTTGTTGCCAGCAATTTGTAAAATAATGCTAGATCGTTAGATATCCCAGCTGGTGTAGGGAGAGTGTCAAGAGTTACAAAATTACTCCCAGGTGCTGGATCTATGTATCTTCCCACTCACCCACCTTGGGGGGAAAAAGACAAAGTAAATAAGGAAACAACAGCAGCAATGAAAGCAACTGAGATGGGGCAAATAGCCAGAGCCTACACCGCCCCCCCCCCCCACCCATCATGGCGTGAGTCTTGGGGGCCAGTCTCACGCCCCAGGTATCCTTCTCGGGCCAGTGCCCAGTGCAGGGCCTGGCGTGTGGCAGGCAGGTGCCCGCCTATGTGTTGGGAATTGAACGGACGTGTCTGGCCAGATCACATGGAGGTTCTCCAGGGGAATTTCTGGGGTGTGTGTCGCGTCTACTTGTAAACACACAGGGGCGAGACATTTGGGCAGAAACATGATCAGCCCAGGCATATGCTACACCACGGCTAACTTCAGACTCTGTTCCCGTTCTTCACTTGACATTGTAGGAAGAAGAGCAGGGGCAAGAAAAGAGAGAAGATTCCAAGTGGTTGTCTCCTGCGTTTGCAGAAGTTAGAGACAGCGGTGGGCTGGGTCCCGGTTCAGCTCAAGGTCTCCTAAGGCTCTCTGATGTCCTTCTCCCTCTTCACCTTGAAGTCTTAGGGTGGGTCAGCGCCAGCGTGGCTGCAACGCCTTCAGTACACACGGCTTTCCATATCTGTGTGTGGGTGTGTAGATCTCTTCCCCATCCCTGTCCGCTAGATTTGGTTGCACTTCTCAGAGGCAGATTTAAAACTGGGTTCTTGCCCTGGCCGGTTTTTCTCAGTGGTTAGAGTGTCAGCCCTCAGACCGAAGGGTTGTGGGTTCGATTCCAGTCAAGGGCATGTACCTCGGTTGCAGGCTTGATCCCCGGCTCCAATCAGGGTACATGTGGAAGGCAACCAATTGATGTATCTCTCTCACATCCATGTCTCTCTCTTCCCCCTCTTCCCTCCTCCCTCTCTCTCTAAAAATCAATGGAAAAATATCCTTAGGTGAGGATTAAAAATCAACAATAAAAAACCCCATGGGTTCTTGGCCATTAATCAGCGCCTGGCCATTTCTTTTAATAATAACTTGTGGCCTTTTATGTCGACTTCACCTTTTTTTACTCATTTGCATAATGGCCACTTCATATGATTCAGCTGTGGGTAGAGACAGCCATTCTCCTAAGGGACAGGCGGATAGGAAACCATTCCTAGCAGATGAGTTAGATGAGGCTCAGAGAAGAGGTGTCCTGGGCCTGCTGGTCATCTGCATTGTTAATGGCAGACTGCCACAGTGCGGATTACAGGGGGCTTGGCCATGTGAGTGACAGATAATGGGGAGGAGATGAGGGGAAGATTTTCATTAGAGGCAAACATTTCCACAGAAAGGGAAGTGGGTGGAGACAGCCAAGGAGGTGGGGGATGAGGGGATATGCTTCAAAAGGGACAGCAGTTTGGACATATTAAGGCTTTTCTATGCTCTTTATAGATTTGATTTTATTCAGGTGCCACAACAGCCTTGGGAGTAGGTGCCATTATGCCCATTTCTCAGATGGAACTACTGAGTCACAATGAGGTCAAGTAATTCCTCGGACAGCTGCACTAAAGACCTTGAAGGACATTGACACAGGGGTGTGATTCACGTGAAGCACCATGTGAGAGAACCCCCAGTAATAACGCAATAGCACACAGCTGTTAGGAGGCAGGCCCAGACTCCGACATGGCTGCCTGGCTCCACAGCCTGGGTCTCAGCACCCTTCACAGCGCACCTTCCAAGACAGCCTTCTCTGGAACCCGGCATCGCCTAGCCAGGCCCTGATTCATGCCTGTCTGCAATCTAGCAAGGGAGCCTTGAGCGGCCGGTGTGGCTCAGTGGTTGAGTGTGGACCATGCACCAAGAGGGCACCAGTTCGATCCCCGGACAGGCCACAGGCCCAGGTTGTGGGCTTGATCCCTGGTGGGGGGCGTGCAGGAGGCAGCCAATCCATGCTAATGTTCCTCTCTCATTGATGTTTCTGGCTCTCCC